TCAGAATCCTAGAGGAGAACACAGGCCTCAACGTCTTTGACATCGACCACAGCAACTTCTTACTAGACACATCTCCAAAAAGAAGGAAAACAAAAGCAAAAATGAACTATTGCAACTTCATCAAGATAAAAATCTTCTGCACAGCAAAGGAAACAGTCAACCAAACTAAAAGTCAGCCTGTAGAATGGGAGAAGATATTTGCAAACAACACATCTATAAGAACTTGTCAAACTCAGTGCCCAAAAACCAAATAATCCAATTTTAAAATGGGCAGAAGACATAAACAGCCATTTCTACAAAGACATACAACCTGCTAATAGACACATGAGATGCTCAGCATCACTCATCATTAGGGTGAAAATCAAAACCACAATAGGATACTACCTCAGAACAATCAGAATGGCTAAAATCAACAAAAGAAGAAACAACCAGAGCTCATGAGGATACAGAGAAAGGGGAACCCTCTTACCCTATTGGTGGAATGCAAACCGGTGCAGCCACTCAGGACAATAGTATGGAGGTTCCTCAAAAAGTTAAAAATAGAGATTCCCAACAATCCAGCAAGTGCACTACTAGGTATTTACACAAATACAAGAACACAAATTCAAAGGGATACATGCACCCCAATAATTATAGCATACTATAGCCAAATTATGGAAATAGCCCAAGTGTTCATGGATGGATGAATGGATAAAGATGTGTCATATAAATGCAACAGAATATTATTCAGTCAAAAAAAAAAAAGAATGAAATCTTGTCATTTGCAGTAACATGGACAGAGCTACAGAGAACAACGCCAAGTGAAATAAGTCAGTCAGAGACATACACCATATGATTTCACTCATGTGTGGAATTTAGGAAACAAAACAGAGGAGCAAAGGTGAAAGAGAAAGAAAGACAAACCCAGAAACAGACTCTCAACTGTAGAGAACCCACTGATGGTTACTAGAAGAGAGATGGGTGGGGGATGGTGGATAGGGATTGAGGAGTGCACTTGTCCTGATGAAATAAAATAAAATGACTATTTTTTTTAAATTTTTGAAGATTTCAGCCTCAATGTCATGGCAGATGACTCCTTGCCTCTTCTCCGCACATGCTCCCCGTCATTGAATGCCTCTTGTGCACCACTACCTCTTAAACCTGCAAGACTCTCATGAGCAAGATGCTAGTTCCTGTGTCCCTGCAGATGAGGGATTGTGAAGCTTAGAGCATTCAAGAGACTTTTCCGAAGGAAATCATGGTAAACGTGGAGCAGGACTAAGCTGCACATCTGCACACATCGAAGGCCCTACCCCTTCCCTATTCCAAGAAGAGCAGCTGGTCTACCCACTGCAGGGGCCCCAGGGAGCTGGCTCCTAGCAGACACAGAGCCACCAGCAGAAAAGCAACTCACCATGCATGAGCTAACTGGGTCAGTGGCCGGGTGGCGGCACCTCAGTGCCTTCATATTCCAAAAGCTGAGGGAGTCCTGTTGCCCTGTTCTGTCCATTTGGACACTTTTTCCACAGAACATCCACTTTCTTTAACACAATTCGGGTGCCCAGCCTTGACCAATGGCCATTGGGAGCTTCCCAAGAATTCTGAAGGCACTTTGCTCTTCCCCGCCCACTCACTGCTAGCTGGGAACCTATGATGACAGGAGTCTGTGGGAATAATGAGGAAGGGGTAAGAGCCTCCCAGTCTAAGTCAGGACAGCCCTCAAGAGAAAAGCTTGAATGTGCCTCAAGGGTGCATATGGCTGGCAATGCCCAAGAGCATGCCAACAATAACAAGGGGGATGGTAAGGGTGACCTTGGGCTGTGGACACCCTTCTGGGTACCATTGGCTGAGTATTGAGCTTGACCCGATTTACTCTAACCTTAAGGTAAAGAAGGGGTGAACGGGGATGTCATGATCTCTGAGATTTTGTACATGTCCGGGTCATTGCAGGGACTGACCTGTAGGCACGGGTGTGTCCCATTCTTGGGGACCGGGGGGGTGCTGCCCTCAGGACCTGAGCCCTGGACCTACTGCTTCCATCATGGAAGACCCATCGTGGCTACCCACCCCTTCCCCACGGCAGCTCTCAAAAGCAGCTGTTCTGTGCCAGCCAGAGAGCAGGTTGACGTGAGGTGTCTGTCCAGCTGCGTGTGCTCCTTAGACCCCGGCAAAAGGAGAGCATTCCCAGGTCCAGGGGACGAAAGCATCAGGGAGGCCCAAGATGGACACAGGACTCACTCTGGACAAGGAGGTGCAAAAGAAGCTGGGGCTTCCCTTCTTTTACAAAAAGCCAGATTGGCAATGAGAGTACCTTAGCTCCTGCCCATTCCTCCTGCTTCAGGTACCAGTGACCACAGCAGCCCCACTCCTGCCAGGGAGGAACGGCCTTCACAGAGACACCTGCCCAACACCCCATACCCTCAGCAGCTGGGCAAGCTCCCGTCCTGACTCCTCATTCAGTGAGGAGACCAATGTCTGCCCTGGCTACCCCCTCGTCAACCCTTTGTCATGTGCATTAAAGGTGCTCTGTCCCGTAGACCATGATGACCACCACAGCCAGTCCCCTCTCAGAAACGTGGGGAACATATGAGCCGCCTTCTCGGGGCTTGGTTAACCCCACCACCACCTCTCTGGGCTGCAGGGATGAGGTGGGGACCCTGCTGGGAGCCACTGGTGTCTTCTGTTCTTTCCATAGCAGGACTTGGTGCCCCCTCCCATTGTTTTTTCATATTTGTTTGTAAGCTCCTGCCTTTTTTTCTGGTTCTTACTCCTTTTTGGTCATGTCTTAGAGTCTCAGAGGAGGGAAATTCTGTTTCTTATTCCTCTCTATTCCCTTTGGTGGCTTCTCACAACTGCTGGTTTGTTGGCAACAGAAGCTCTTTACAGGTTCTGGCCTGAGAGATGAAGCAAGAATTTCCTCTTGTGTTTTTGCCCATGAAGACCTTCCTTCTGGAGTAGTGTGCTCAGGAACCAGCTCCCCAATGGCAGAGGCCATCAGAGGTCAAATCTCAGATATGAAGCTTCTCCCCAGGAGTGTAAGGAATGCTCTCAGTACTTGCCAGAGCGTGTCTGCATTCTGGCCATCTGGTCTACCACCGTGCCCGATTCTAGGGGAACATGACCCTGGAGTATGATTAGCTCACCGAGGCACGGCAGCACCACAGGCCTGGAAGGACGTCGAGGCCCCATGCTAGCCACTCCTAGCTCACCAGCTATTTTCAGAAGCAATTGCGTGGACATGTCCTGACTGACAGGGTGCCCTCCCCACCTGCTGCAGGGGTTCAGCCTCCAGCTTGACTCCGAGTCTTGCTCAGGTCAGCTAAGCCAGGAGACACCTTCCCAGTTACCGTTCTGGAAGGGGTAGGGCCCCAGGGGCCTGCAGCTGTGGGCAGTGACTGGAAGGCCCACCAGTGAGCCCAGTCCTGACCAGCCCATTACAGTGATCCTGCACTCACTGGGGCACACACCTATAACCCCCATGTCTTTTCCCTGGAGGGCAGTGGCAGGCTCCCAGAACCAGGTCGTGGGATGCTGCAGAAGGAGCCCAGCTGGGGCTTGAGCACAGCCAGACATATGGTTTGCAGGCTCTGGACCCAGCACAGCTGCCCTGACCCAAACTCCACACGGCTGTGCCAGGAAGAGCCAGGGATGGCAGGTCAGAGTTCTCCATGGAAGGCTCAAGAGCTTTGCCAAGCTTAGGTCCCATCCTCCACAGGGGCCCAATAGGACCCGCTGGTCTGCAAGAGCTGCACCGGATCCTGTGCAGCCAGACGGTGCCTGCAGCTGACTGGTTCTCTACCATGGTGAGGAGGCAGGGCTAGGGACTGGGGCTGGGAGCTGGAGGAAAGGGTCGGCAGGGCATGGAGGGCACCGTCCCTCCCCCAGCCAGGAACTGAAGGGCCTAGAGAGCCAGGGCAGGTGCCTGCTGAAGGGCCAGAGCAGACCCCACCCCTGGTTCCCTCAGAGGAGACAGCAGGTCCAGGGTTGAGACCCCAGCGAGCTGGAGGACACCCTGCCTGCGAGCCAGGAGCCACCCCTGTGAGCCCTGGAGGGAGGGCAGGCTCGGGAGGCCTGGGCATGGGGGCGCGGGGGGACCACCGGCCATGACCCACTCCTCAACCTGCCCTGCCCCCAACTCCAGGTCCTCAGGCCCAGCCGGTCCTCACACAGGCCCAGGACCACCTCCCCCCAGGGTCAGACCACTGCTCTCTCTCCACTCTCCCCACCTCACTCCTGCCTCTTCTCCCTCACCTGCGTCCTTCACAGGTCACTCGGGGCCGTTGCACTGGTCTGCCCTTACACAGGGCACCCCCACAGTGCTCCTCTGCCTCATCCCTCCGTGGGCTGATGTCCAGCCATGTCTGGAGAGGCCCTGGGCCCCACCATCATGGCGGGGTCTCCCCGGCACCTTGGTCAGCCTGCTGGAGGCCGACATCACCAGCTGCACCTGCACCACATTCCCCAGCTTCCCTCCATTTCCCCAAGACCAGGCTAGGAACCTGGAGCCCCACCTCAGACACTCCCCTGCTCTTCCTGCCCCCACCCCCTCCCACAGGAGCCCCCATGACCTACCTGCCACCCCGAGGGCTCCCTGACCCTCTCTCAGCACCCAGGCTTCCCACTCCTCGTGCCCCCAGGCTGGCCTAGATCCATCCTCCACACCGTACTAGACAGAGCTTTCCAGAAAGAGACTCTAAACCAGGCCCACACATCTTTCCACCTCTTCGAGGGGCACATAGGCCACATTTGAATCCAGCTACACCGAGCAACGTGCCCTGCTCTCCAGACCCACGGCCAGTGTGTGGTCTTGGCCTCGGCTGTCCCTCAGCCTGCAGTCACACACACACAGACTTCCAACCTGCCAGCAAGCCCCGGGGCATCATCACTCCCTCCCCGTCCCCGGCTGTGTCCATGCCCCTAGCTGTTTCCCCTGCATGAGCTCACCAGCCGCACTCAGGCTGGCCCGTGGGAGCCTGTGTGGGTCTCCGCCTCCCTGAACGCCACACCTGGTGAACCTGCAGGTCCCAGCGCCCAGCCCCAGATCTGATGCGTGGGGTCAGGGGAGAGCGGCCTGTAGAGGTGGGAGGGCCACCCCCGTGGAGCATCGAGCCCCTGCACCCGCCCCACAGCCAGGGGCGTGCGGAGCTAGAAACCCTCCTCCAGGACCCGCAGTCCCGGCAGACGAGCACAGCCCTGGCCCCCAGGAGCCTGTTCATGAGGGACAGTGAACAGGCAGAGTTCACAAGGTAGCTGCTTCCGGGTCCACAGACCTGGCCAGGGGGAAGGCGGCCTCATCAGCTGAGCCTCAGGCAGGCCCCCCCAGGGACCGGCTGGCGGGAGTCATGCCCCCTCCAGGTCGGCCATGGACCTGGGTGCGGCCCTGCTGGCAGCAGCCGCCAGCCTTTTTGGACCACACGGCTCGGATGCAGGAGGCCTGTGGGCACAGCCCCGAGTCTACTGTTATTTCTGAAAGATAAAAGGAAAACGGACACAGGAAGACCTTCAATATTCTGATGATTGCTAGTGGTGGCAAATTGTTTGCTGCCGAGTCAAGAATGGCTGGAGGATGGAGGTCTGTGGCCCCATCCTCCCTTGCGCCTGCCTTAGGGCCTTTGGGGATTTGGCTGAGCCAGGAGCCACGGCGCTACCTGGGGCCACAGTGATTCACAACCCTACAGAAACCCCGTGTGGGAGCACTCCAGGGGTGACGGGTGCTCACCCTCCCGGCTCCCCACAGACCTGCAGGGGCGGGGGGACCCTGAGAAAGCTGGAGGAGGGGTGCTTAGCCCCCCCAGAAGGCGAGGGGACTTTCAAGTGGACATGACACAGCCAGGGGGTTGGCCTGGGTCACTGATGGGCTGGGGGAGGGGTGGTGTGGGCAGCGGCCTGGATACTGGGGGTGGGGGTGGGAGCTTGGTCTCACTTGGTCAGGCGGGGCGTGCAACCCTGGGCCACGAGCAGTGAGGGCCATCGCAAGGCTGTTGGGGAGAAAGTGACCTCAGGCCCCACGTGAGTTGGGTGTCAGGAAGGACATCAAATGCCAGGCCAGTGCACTGAGTGCAGGAGGGAATGTGTGGGGGCACAGGGTGGACCGTTTCTTCCAGCAGAAAGCAGACTTTCCGGCCCCTGGGGCTCCCTGGGGACCCTGGCTGGTGGGGGCTTCTGCAAGCCCCAGCACTGGGACAGTGCACTGTGCGTATGCTTACTTCGACACCTGGGGCCAGGGTGCACTGGTCACGGTCTCCTCAGGTGAGTCTGCTCTCCCACGCTGAGCCAGGGCAAGCCTGCTCTGTGTCTCGACTCGGGGTGGGAGGTCAGGTGGGTTTTTGTATGGGAGACGTAGATGGGCAGAGGCTGTGCTACTGTGATTTGGATCACTGGGGCCGGGGGCAGGGTGGCAGGGTCCCTGCTGGGTTCCGGGCCCGGTGGGGACTAGACTCGGCAGCAGAGCCCCTGGTGGCAAGGAGCAGAGGGCCAGGCAGACAGAAGCCCCAGGGCAGACAGACAGAAGCCCCGGCACAGGTGTTGGCCGGAAAGCAGAAGTGTGGGGCCGGGTTTTCGGTGTGCGGGGGCTGGGCGGCTGCATCAGCGTGGCTATGGCTACTTCGATGTTTGGGGCCAGGGCACCCTGGTCACCGTCTCCTCAGGTAAGAGGGCCTTCTGTCTGCCCCGTCTGTCCCAGCCCTGGGGCAGAAGTCTCCCGAGACGCCCTCGTCTCCGCGGGGCCGTGTGGGGAGCCCAGTGGACTGCTCCTGAGGCCGTGAAGTCCTCGCTGTAGGGAACAGGGGTTGGCAGAGGGGGCTCTGTGTCTGGGGTGCGCAGACCTGAGGACGGAGGGCATCCGCCAAGGCTGGGCAGCCGGGCAGGGGTGAGGTTTTTGTACACCCCCTAATGGCACCCTTGGCAATGTGACAACTTTGAATACTGGGGCCAGGGGACCCTGGTCACCGTGTCCTCAGGTGAGTCCTCACAGCCCTTCTCGCTTCTCTCTCTCTGGGGCTTTTTGCTGCATTTGGGGGGAAAATGACGGTGTCTGGGTCTGGGATTTGGAAGGACCGGGGGCAGCCGGTGCCCCAGGAAGGGGCCGGCGGGCCAGCAGCTGCCTGCCCTCCTGGCTCTCAGCCACCCTTGCCTCCTGGGGCCGTCCTGTCGGCCCCACCAGGTGGGCTTTGAGGTCCGAGGCCTTAGCGGGGCCGACTTCTTGTCCGGGGTCCCCGCACAGTTGTCATGTTGTGTCACTTTGTGACAACTCGTTCTACAACTGGGGCCAGGGGACCCTGGTCACCGTGTCCTCAGGTGGGTCTTCAGCCTCCCCCTCTGGCTGCACTTGGGGGGATCAGGCTGTTGGGGTTTCTGGGGGCCAGGAAGGGGACAGAGACAGGGGCCTGGAGATCTCCCTGCCTTGAGGACGGCTGCAATCAGGGACACGGCGGCTTCTTTGGTCAGTCCGGCTACGTTGTCCAGGACTTCTCGGGGGCCACGGCAACTGTGGCATGATCGGTGGAATTGGGCTCTCCGCGGCTGTGGCCCTTGGGGTGGATTGGACTTCGGAGTCCCAGTTAGGGGCTGTCAGCTTGCAGTCAGCTGGCCCAGGCAGGCAGTGGTCTGGCTTCTGTAGGGTCTCAGGGGCAGTGGTGGGGGAGCAGGGCCGGTGGAGGGTGACTTGGAAGATCGGTTTCCGTGTGGCCCGGAGACCGTGCAGGCCTCTGAGTCGGGGCGATGCCGGGCCAGGCCCCCGGGGTTTTGGTGGGGTGCGGATGGCGATTTCACCACTGTGATTACTATGGTATGGACTACTGGGGCCAGGGGACCTCAGTCACCGTATCCTCAGGTAAGAGCGGCCCTACCAGGGCCTTTATTTTCTGCTCCTTTCTGTGGGATTCTCTGAGCATCAATGGTGGGTCCTCGGGACATGCCCCCCAGGGGCAGGCTGGCCGGGAGGGGACAGGGACCGGGTGACTTCGGGACTTCCGAGCCTCTTGATTTTCTGATGCGTTCTTAAAACTAGAATAATACCAGAACGCCCAGAGCAGTAATTGAGCCCCTGAAGAGGGGGCTGGAGGCTGGGCCGGCCACGAGTGGGCCGGGAACCCCGTGGCCATAGGGCCTTGCGGCCGTGGTCGGCGCCGCCCGGCTCTTAGACTCTGGTGCCGGCTAAGGAGTGTGCCGGGCTAGCTGTGTTTGCAGGACCACCAGGTTCGCCCCATGTAGAGCGACAGTGAAAGACTCTCCTCAGAATTAGGAGTGATGTTCTGGGCTAGACTGTTTACGATTCTTGGTCAGGAACAGAGCCGTCCGGGCCAGGAGGGACGCGGAGTCCCGCTGCCCCTAAAGGGCAGGTCTGGGGGGCCAGGGAGCTCGGCTCCGGGCAGTCAGCGTCCAGGGGAAGGTGGCTTGCTCCTCCTCCATGTGTGATTACTAAACATGGAAGGACAGGATATCTTTGAAGTGGCTCCTGAGAAAAAGAGTGGAGAAAACTGTGACTTTAAAATGTCAGAGATTTTTGAGTATATTAGACTTTTTAATTGTATCGGGCAATTAACAACCCAGAATCATGTCTTTCTGGAGTCGATCCAAGAAATAGTACCCCGGTGCTGTCGACCCCCTGCCAGAGCTGAGTTTTGACGGTGAGAAGCTAAGCTTAATTTTGTATTTAATTCAGCGATTCTAGAGGTGGTGGTGCTGAGATAGGTGAGGCGCGGTGAGTGGCCAGGCCCCTGCAGGTGGCAGGAAGCAGGTCGCAGGGACTGGCTATTTTAGGAAGCAAGAAAACACACTTGGCAAATTTATAGTTTGTGGTTAGCAGAAGTGGTTTTCGGTGGTTTTGCCCAGCCCCGCGAGGCTGAACACAGCCATGGTGCAAAACAACACCTGTGCAATTTGCGTTTCTAAAATAAGGCCAAGACGCTGGCAGGAGCCCAGACGCTTCCTTTTTTAACCATCTGAATTTACTTTTTCGGTCTTAGCTCACCAACATCTGAATTATACTCATTTCCAAAGTAAGACGTTTAAGAAATTGAACTGGTCTCGGTGACAGTTTACAATGCGTTCGTGTAAGGCTTTTTTAATTAGTTGTATCCGCAAACGGTTGTTAACCTCAAACCACCTTCCAGCGTCCTGAAGCACGGTTTTTTGCAATCGCTGCGTTCGCAGTATTCTAAGTTGGACGATTTTCTCTTTGTGATGAAGAGGCACGTAGCTATTCTGAAAAAGTTTGCAGACCTCTTTTCAAGCATTCCTGTGGGGACAGGTTTTAGGTGAAACGTGTGTGATTGTCCAGAATGAGTTCAGTGAAGCGTGTCACTTGTTGGACTAAGAGGAAGTCCGGTCAGGTCTCGACTCAGAAAAGAACTCTGCCGGGCCCCCAGGCTGACGGAGCCCCAGTGGAGGGCCCGCCTGGCCCCCGGCCCACCGTGGCTTGGGATCCCCCCGGCCCCCCGTGGCTTCTGCCACCCAGCCAACCGGCTATGCTTCGACCAGCCGATTTTAATGGATTTGGAGGAATTCTTCAAAGACCCCCACGGTGACCAGGGAGACGAGCTGGTAAGAGAGAAGTTTGTATCTGACGTTTGGTTTCTGCTTGGTGAGGAATCAGTCTGTAACGACCGCTCAGTGAGACAATGAGATTGATTTTTATGAGTCCTGGAGTGACCATCGTCTTGGTCACTCACAATTTAGCTTTCTCTGAAGATCATTTCAAGGAAACGGATTGGAAGGGCTGCCCCGTGGCTTCTTAGCTATTGATCCCACGGCTCAGGCGCTCTGACATAGAGAGCCCCTTACACTATCTTTCGGTTGTAAACGCGGCTTTGGGTGTGAGGTCATTACTGTGCATTTGAAAGTAGTCTACTGCCTTGTAAAGACCTTTAGGATAAAGAACAGAATGAGAAGTGCAAATTCAGATAAGATGCGTCTTTGGTCATATTTCATGATGATTTTTATTTAGAGGGAATTTAGCTAAAGTCAGGGACCTACTTTAGACTCAGAAGGCAGGAGTTCAGCTAAGGGCAAGTGCCCAGGCGGGTGAAGCCCGTGAGGGGACAGTCCCGGGCACCCTTATGTCAGCCCAGAAGCACCACAGCCTATTCTAAAGCAAAGACGGGCTTTTCACCCTGATGACAGCAAACACTCTCAATCCCTATAAAGTGTCCTGACGAATTTTAACTGGCCAGGACGTATTTTATCCAGGACACTGAGGTGGGAGTGATCGATGATGCTTGGGCACCAAGAGCCAGCTCAGACTGAGGCCATGACAAAATCGGGGGTCCCAGTGGAGAAATCCACAAGGACTCACAGGGTGGAAAAGGCAGGAGTAAGCACCAGAAGGAACCGACCCGGGGCCAGGCCCATCCATACAGGTTTCCTGGATAAGATGGCTTTAGCCTCAAGGCAAGCAGGTCCGGTGGTCTGAAATTTTCTAGCCAGTCCCAGGCCTGGGCTTTCGGGACTGCACTACACAGGACTGTATACTGGGCCGCCCAAAGCAGCCCTCAGCTGAGCTGGACCAAACCAGATTGAACTGGCACTTCTGAGCTGAACCAGACTGAGCTGGGCTGAACTGGGCTGAGCTGGGCTGAGCTGGGTAAGCTGGGCTGAGTGAGGCTGAGCTGGACTGAGCTGAGCTGGGTGAGCTGGGCTGAGCTGGGTAAGCTGGGCTGAGCAAGGCTGAGCTGGACTGAGCTGAGCTAGGTGAGCTGGCCTGAGCTGGGTAAGCTGGGCTGAGCGAGGCTGAGCTGGACTGAGCTGAGCTGGGTGAGCTGGGCTGAGCTGGGTAAGCTGGGCTGAGCTAGGCTGAGCTGAGCTGGGCTGAGCTGGGCTGAACTGGGCTGAACTGGGCTGAGCTGGGCTGAGCTGAGCTGGGTGAGCTGAGCTGAGCTGGGCTGAGCCGGGCTGAGCCAGGCTGAGCTGGGCTGAGTTGAACCAGGCTAGGTGAGCTGGGCTGAGCTGGACTGAGCTGAACCAGACTAGGTGAGCTGGGCTGAGCTGAGCTGGGCTGAGCTGGGCTTAACTGGGCTGAGCTGGGCTGAGTGAGCTGAGCTGAGCTGGGTGAGTGGGGCTGAGCTAGGCTGAGCTGAGCTGGGCTGAGCTGGGCTGAGCTAGGCTGAGCTGGGTAAGCTGGGCTGAGCTAGGCTGAGCTGGGTAAGCTGGGCTGAGCTGAGCTGAGCTGAGCTGGACTGAGCTGAGCTGGGTGAGCTGGGCTGAGCTGAACTGGGCTGAGCTGGGCTGGGTGAGCTGAGCTGAGCTGGGTAAGCTGGGCTGAGCTGAACTGGGCTGAGCTGGGCTTAATTGGGCTGAGCTGGGCCGGGTGAGCTGAGCTGAGCTGGGTAAGCTGGGCTGAGCTAGGCTGGGCTGAGCCGGGCTGAACTGGGCTGAGCTGTGCTGAGCTAGGCTGAGCCGG